ATTATTTATACATCTAACTCGCAATGCCACGGCCAAGACTCGCGGTCAGTTCTGTTAACTTGGCGATTATACATGCGTATGCAGACACAGCTCGTGGAAGTTTCGTGATTCGGAAACGACGCCGGTGACTATGGCACCATGGGATACGCACAATGGAATTCCACGGTTTCGAATTGAGGAATTGGTTTAGTACGTGTCGAAGGTTGCGAATAAAAAAGGCTTTTTTCACTACGGAACTCAAGCGTAGTTTTGAGATTGCTTTCTTTCAATAGTACATAACCTCAATCGCATAACGCATATGCTTGAACGCATAACGTCCATTTCCTTGAAAATATCATTTCGTACGAGCATTTCTCTGAACGGAATTATTAATACTTTTAATAAAAGGCGCTCGCGTGAAATACAACTGTTACTTTTTTTTTGGCTTCGTGTTTGAACTTTTTTACAGAGAGGAAAGTTTCGCCAGCTTTCCTCAAATTAATAACGAAGAATCTAGAGAGAAAGTTTCCCAATGCAATTTCTTCTCTACACGGGGTGTATCTTAATATCTATTTGTAAGATCCTCTCCGCGGATTGGGGACACGAAAACAATGGAAAGAATCCGTATAAACATGTGCCCTGTTTGACCTTCTTCTCGAGCGGTCATTTTTCTACCTTGACAATAATTCAGCCATGATATCGAAGCGGATAACCTCGAAAATGTTCCGCCTGAAATAAAGAGAAGTACACGAGAATACGAGGTTAGATAAACCGAAGGATAATTGATGATATATCCCGTAAAGCGGACATTAACGAATCGTGTTAAAGGATAATTACTTTATTGAAGCGAGTTTCATGCTTTCTCGGCAAGGGAATCGCCCATTATTTTATTGCGAGTTTATTTATTTTCCAAGGATGACTGTAGGAGAATCAAGAAGTAAAACGAGAAGGACGAGCAGAATTAAGAACGAAATCGTGTGTGATACGATTCATTTTATTGGATACCTCGACTGATGTAAGAATTTTAGCCCCATTGTCTTGCAACAATCGGGGTCTACTGCATGCCGTCGTTATTTTCAAGTCAACAACGGAATATTCTTTAAAAATGGATTGTTTTTCTAGCACTTATATCACGAACATAATATTACCTCTGCAAGTGCTGAAAAATAAGTAGTATTAGCGATTATTATCACCCCAATTTAATTAAATGCTAAGGCGATCCTAAGAACGAACTGTAAGACAATAAAACGAAAATCTAAAAGAACAGACAGGGCAAAAGAGACATGAGAAGTCAGCATGCGAGGACATTAAGATGCGTTTATTAAACTCATAAGAATACAGTATTATAAATAAAGTAGGACTAATGTTAAGGAAACAAATGTAAATATAGGTTAAGAGAAAATGTAAGAAACTGTTAATAGTGGAGTGCAATGCAGGCAGTAGTCCTGGGTACTATAATAAATCACGTTACATTACATTCTGCAAGTGCTGACACCTACTGACAAAGTCAAGAGCCATCATGGTAGCGCCTGACTTCATTCATAGTCATAGTCGACAAAAATGTCCCGTGAGGGCAGTTAACCTTAATGGGACTATAAAAACTCGATGAAAAGTGTTGCGGAAGCCATTTCGCACATTTTCATGGTAAGCGCGGCCCCAACATCAATATTCCGTGGTAATTTATCAACTCCTCCAAACCTATCGTCGATAAACGCCAATCGGTGATGAATGTATGGCCCAACGACCACACAGACGTGAACTTTAATCATCGAGATATTGCAGTGGCATTCGGTCTACCGTTAATATCGCGGAGCAATGTTGCGAGGTTGAGCATTGAGTCGATTCTCGTTACAGCAATAGGAAAACGAACTGAGAAACGAAAGCAACACCAGGGAAATTAATTACTTCGTCACACGTATATAAAATGAATACTAATAATGCCAAATTAAATACGAGTCTACAACCTAACCTGAAAATAAATTCTCACCCTATCATACATATAACCTTAAATTTCGAAGGATGGGCTTGTTTTACGTTATTCAAGTATTTCCTAATTTTAAGCGAGACCTAGTCCAGACTTAACTTTAAATTAGAGATCACTGTGAACCTAGAGTTTTCTTTGATACATAACCTTAAATTTTAAAACATCGGGTAACGTCATTTGATTATACGATCGTTCCATAATTTTTAGTAACGCATATACCGGACCATTCGCGTCGCGTTTCCTGTTTAACGATCGCTATAAAAAGTAGCCTGAACGCGTGACCTGTCACGGTAGGAAGTTCAAGACATTTCCTCTGGGGAGCGTCAGAGGCGCTATCTGCAAACATAACTCATCCCTACTGTTCCGGAAGGAATCGTTTCCGTGTGTACCCGAATTTGTCGAGGTGACTTCAAACGTGTCTAGGAAATTTGCATTAAGTAAACAAGAATTTGCGCGCCTCTACGCGGTATTTAACTATTGCCTCACTTCGGAAGTTTGATTTCCATTACGTCGCCCGATTTACTAACTTCGACGTCTAAACAAGATTTTAGCGCCGCTTTGAACTTGCTCGAGGGTATTTCACGAGTTCGTGCTTCCGTTAGAAAATTAACTGCAAGTTAAGATTACTATTTACTACATAAAGGTACTCTTGGTTTTGGGGCTTGAGCGACGGTCGAACGGTTTTTCGAAGTGGAAGATTTATACGGAGCTTAAAAATTTAGGAAATGAATCTTCTTGTACGTATTATTTTTAATATTTGAAATCTTTAAATTTCCTATAAACGTGATATTGCGAGACACGTGAGATGACCCAGGAAATATCATCCGTGACGAATGGCAAGAATTTACGTTCCAACTCGAAACTAATGGCCGCGAAAGAGAGAAAAATTTCTTGACTCTCTGATCGCTGGAACTTCCGCTCGGAATAAATTCGTCCCCATTCTAAGACAACAGAATGAAGAATGAACGTCGTACCCGTGAAGAATTTTTTTTTTTTTTTTTGAGAATTTAATTGAGAGAAAAAAATGAAAAGAAAAATGTCGATCATAAAGAGTTCATTCAAAAGAGGTTTATTCAAAAGTATGACTTAATCGTTCGATTAATTCATATTCTCGCCAGAATACATTTCATCGAATAAGACGAAAAATCAATTTTTCTTCGTTTACGAACTTTTCGAGAAATTGTTGCCACCGTACAGATGATATTTCGTGGGTGACTTTTTTATGCCGGTGTCTGGCAGCCGAATTTACCTCCCGCGTAGCGAATGATTAATAATCAAGAAAATCTATAGGGTGTTCGAAAAATTACGGTTCATTGAGAAACGTATCCAGAAGAACGATTGTTTGATTAATATGGAATTTATCGAGTTAACCTCGAGCCTCTCGTACCAACTTCGAGAAGAGGTCACGATCTTTGATCATGGCAATTCTACGGTTCGGGTGTGGGCCACGAATTTACAGGAGCTTTCTATCGCGTCATTCCCTGCGCCAACCCCAGTTTCGTTAATTAATTAACTCTCCAAGTAGAGGAAAGTCGAGACACGTTTTTGTAGCTGACGCGAGGCTTCCTCGGCAGCTCTTATTCGTCATTGGACGATACATCGAGTACTGTTAACAATTATCGACGTAATAAAAATAATATTTCTAACTGTGCCTTTCAATTTCGCGGATTATAACTCGTTCCTTATATTTATCAGTGGGAATTAATTCCGGGCCGTTCTAAAGTAAACTTATCATTTATTTTTAAGGAAAAATTATGCAACTTTTAATTTCTCAATCATTCATCTATTTATTCATTTATTACAGTTGTTCTTTAGAACATGATAAATAAAGCGTATTATAATATTGAAACTTTCATAAGGTAATCCTGGTGTAAATACTTTTTTAGTTTTACTTTTTATTTTTTTTAATGTAAATGCAATCCGGAAACTGCAGTTAATTCCACCGACCCACAGAGAAGCCACCTTTGATTACCCGCTTCGCAAACACATGGAGAGCTTTCGTGAACCATAAATCTCCACTTAATTGCTTCGTTAATGAACTTGGCGATTGCTCCCGCGACACAGAATCGAAGCAAGTTTTCCCTCAAGTTTTTCCCACTGTCAGAATTTCACGACGAATGCATGGGACGTGTCTTCCGTCAGATCTGAAACTTATTTAAAGTTATACATTTACAAGAATTTTTGAAAAATGAGTTTACCAGAAGTTCGTAAGAGATGAATTCATAAAAAATTTAGTAAGAAGCTTATAAGATCGAGAATTAATAATCTTTACTTAACTCTTGACGAGAAAATGTTGATAATTACCTGAGAGTTACTAGACAGCGAACATTTTTATAGGGAGGAATAAAATTCTTTTAATTAGTTCGTTGAGCGTGAAACTTCAAAGGTCGCGTGGAATATTAAGGCTGTTCTAGTTTCGTTAATATTATGTCCAGCAACTTTTACTATAATTCTATTACTAGAAAAATTCTTATTTTTAATATTTTATTACTATAAAAATACTTGTCTATAAAGTTCGCGCGGCATTTGAAATAAATACGTTCGCCAGTAAACAAAATTTTTCTGAATGAATTCAAATAGGAATTCGTCTGGGAGGCATCTGGGAATTATATTCATAAAGTTCATGGTAAATTTAGCCAGCTACCGTACAAAAATACTCGGTCCACACAAAAGTATCAACAACACAGGAATAGACCGATTCTGAATATCAAAAAACGTATTAAATTCCTATTTCGGGAGTCTATTGCGAGAAAATAGTATCGAAAGAAGAAATAAGGTTCTACGATACAAGAAAAAAATAAAACAGTGAAAATTCGTAACGATAATATTTTAAAATATACTTTAAGTAAATTCGAAAGGCAAACATTAATAATATCTATTAAAAGTAGTTAATAATTTTCCAACAGATTATTCTTTTTCGGAAATAAAACAGTCTCAGTCCTTTATGACATCTTCGCTCGATAAGACCAGCGAGAAACATGTTCAGCCACTGCGCCACCTTGGGCCCTTCCCCTAAATTACCCTAACTCTGTTACAGTGGCAGTGGTGATAGCGTTCTTCATCTGCTGGGCGCCGTTTCACGTGCAACGATTGATCGCCATCTATGGTACGAGGCCGGACCACATCTCCTCGAACAGCAAATGGATAGAATTCCTTTATTTACTCATGACCTACATATCCGGCGTCCTCTACTACGTGTCCACGACGATTAACCCGATTCTCTACAACATCATGTCGAACAAATTCCGCGTGGCTTTCATGGTGAGTAACGCTATTTTTCCAAGATGAACGCAGTCCGAGAACAAGCGCAGTGGAAGGGATATATAGCGCGGTCGTTGCGAACAATTACGCGTGAAAATGACGCTAAACCCTCGAGTGGACGGAGTAAAGGAACACGGGACGCGTTTGCGTCTACTATTTGTGGTCGCTGCGAAGAATTACCACGTCGTGCATTGCAGTTTATGGCAGAGTTGACGAAAGGGGTCTCTTGGGAGCACACCAATCCTGTCGTTGGGAAATTTGGTCGTTGAGAACTCTACTCCTTGTATTTTGACTGATTATTGAGTTGCTCAAGGTTAAGTGGCATTTGTTACCATGTAAATGTACGGTAGAACATCGGTTATAGAAGGTAATAGAAGCTAGAGGGGCTACAGGAAGCTAGAGGGTGGTGGACTCAGTTACTGGGGGCTAGGGGGTGCTAGGCTCAGCTACAGGTGGCTAGAGAGTGCACTGGGCTCAGGTATAGGGGACTAGAGCTAGGTAGGAGCCACTAGACTCAGCTACAGGAGGGCTAGAGGTAGGTAAGAGGTACTAAACTCAGCTACAATGATGCTAGAGTGTATTGATCCCAGCTATAGGGGCTAAAAAATATTGGGCTCAGCTATGGGAGGTTAGAGAATGTACTGGGCTCCGTTATTGGTAGCTAGGGAGTGCACTGGGCTCAAGTACAAGGGACTAGAGGTAGATAGGAGGCACTAGACTCAGCTACAATGATGCTAGAGTGTATTGATCCCAGCTATAGGGGCTAAATACTGGACTCAGCTATGGGAGGTTAGAGAATGTACTGGGCTCAGTTATCGGTAGCTAGGGAGTGCACTGGGCTCAAGTACAAGGGACTAGAGGTAGATAGGAGGCACTAGACTCAGCTACAATGATGCTAGAGTGTACTGGTCTCAGCTATAGGGGCTAGAAGGTACTAGGCTCAACTACAGGGGGCTAATGAATACCGAATAAAGAGGGCTGGGCCTCCACGCTCCACCGTGTCTTAGGTCATAGAAAGTACAGAGGACTAAGACCTTTCGTTGACTCTGCCTTCGCGGACCTCCACAATCCTCATACTAACGTGCCATTATTTTTTTCAGGAAACCCTGTCGAGGAACTGCAGGATCACGAGGCTGACGATCAGGAACGAGCAACGTTCCTACTCCAGTCTGTCCAGATCCCAGGCGAAGGTGATGGGCACTTACAGTTCCAGGACAGCTGGTACAGCGGGCACCGCGGTTCCCCATGAAAGCACAGACTGTTCAGGGAATTCCGGTCGGGACGAAAGCCCCAAACAAACGACGTCATTGATAGAGCAGGTGGCGATGAACGCACAGGGCAATGGCAAGATGGCGACGGAACGGAATGGCGGGGAGGTCAGGAACACAGAGATAGCCAAGGATGTCCGGAGTAAGACCTCTGTCAAGTATCAGAGGAACGAGGAGTCCAGAAAGTCCGCGCCAGCCAAGTACGCTGCGGTGAAGGTGTCTAACGTCGACGGGTCTAGGAAGAAGTGGTGGCGCCTGTTGAAGTGGTTCCCAGGTTTAGAGTCCCTGAAGCTCGCCAGGAGGACCACATACGCCACCCCGGAGAACCGCATTCTGGAGAACACCAATCTCCATCGCGAGGAATTCTCGATGACCATGTGGAACGTGCACGAGGCCAACGATCAGCGACCTGTTTGAGGGATAGCCGAACAGGTCAGGTCCAATTAATGGCGAGCAGAACTGTTCGATCTTCGCGCGATGCTGAGACAGACTGGCTCGATACTACGTGATATGAAGACAGTGATATCGAGGGGGGGTCGGTGCCTCACGAGTGGACCTTCTAAGGAAGACACTGACGTGACACGTTAACGGTCTAGTTTGATAGAAACAGCCCGGAATCGCTGGAGTCTGTTGGACTGCAAAGCCTAACGTACACAGGATAGTGTACCTGATTCAAATTGTCGAGCTGCGAAATCTCGTTGTGGAGGCTGTGCCTGTGAAGGGAGAGCGAGAGAGGAGAAAAAGAAGGGCTAGTGGACTCGTCAGTTAGGCTACCTAGCAGGCCCGTGCCTTAGACGCCGGGATGTTTAGAGCTCAGTCGGGAGTACCTTATATACGGACGTTAGGCAGGACCTTGTGAGAAGGACTCGCGGTGTCCGTCCCTCTAGTGGCGAGGACAGAAGGTGCCACCACATTCGTATTTTACGCGGCAGTAACTGGTTTAATAGTGAATGGACACGAAGAAGTACTGTGCCATTGGAATCCACTGTGATTGGACTAATGGCACCACCGTTTCTCCTTGCAGCGCCACTGGTTACGTGGTGCCCAACCCTGGAATGAATCATTGAATTGTCACCATAAAGATAATATCTCTGTGATTGCATACAATATTCGCCCACAAACTGACCTCGCTTCTAGACACTCAAACTTACAACCAGTGATGGGCAAAACCCTAGGCTTCGAATAAATCTGAAGTTTGCTGATACGTTCGTTTGTTTTGAAAATTTGTTTTGAAAATTTTCCAAAGAAGGAAACGAGACAAACATATCGGCAAACTTCAGATTTATTCGAGGTCTAGGATTTTGCCCATCTCTGCTCACAATTAACTTTATCCCTATAATTTTACCAGATCTAATCTAATTCTTTAATGTTCTTACGTGCAGAGAAGACGAGAAGTTGCCACACGAACACAAAACAAGTATTTCATACATGACGAAACGAAATCATAGGCATCGGTTTCATAAAACGCTCCCTAAAATTTATATGTTTCTACTTTCGCCTGTTTACTTTTCATACGATCGTTGACAACGATTACAGAGGCCCCCTCTACCGTAGGGAAAAATCGCCAACTTTGCGAATCAGCGGGATTAGAAGTTTGAGCACAGTTTCGGTGTTGTTGAAAACTTTTCGTGTATTTTTATGAGGAGTGACGCCAACCATGAAGCGCGTTAATCCGAACAAATGGCGGGGAACCACGAGCCGTTGTTTACACTGGAAGTTTTGACAGGGGCGATTCTGGGTTTCGCCCCTTGGGCCGATTCGACGTCAACAAGACTGATCCTTACGAATCATATTTATCACGATGAATGTCAAAATCTTAACGCGATAGTCACTTTACAAGAGACACGACTTTTTTCGGTGTTCCTCAAAGAAATCGTATAGATAGAGTTGAAGAGTTCTAGGAGGATCAATCTGTAAATGGAAATGTAAGATGCAAAATTTAGTCGGGGAAAACATAGGAATTAAGGGTCATCTGACAGCTGAGAACATTTCTTATTTATTCCAATTCTCTCCTGTTAAGGTCATTAATGTGGATGCTGTTCTATCTATATAATATCTTTGGTGTTCCTTAAACACCGTTTCGAAGTAGCTAAACATTCATATTCATGTAACATCACGAGTTTTAAAGCCACCGCTTCGCCGTACATTGGGCGTACACTCCCACGCGCATCTACCTTGCGCACACGCGACACTGGTACGACCTTTCCTCCGCGTGGTGGCGCTGTCGTTCGCGCCATTTTGTGGCTTGGTGTACATAACCTAACAGTTGACGATCGTTCGTAGAGAAATTGTAAATATCAACCCCGATAGTTTCGAACGAACCTCTACATACAAAGTTGGCCGACTTACTTACATTGTAAAAGTCCAATTCGACGAGCTGCGCGCAGGTACACTTGCTTCGTTATAAATAAATTACGACAGAGGCTTCGAATCGCGTGCTGTGCACGAATGGCTACTAAATTTGTGGAGCATAGGACAGAGAGGAGTGGGGATATACAGCAGGGTCGTAAATCGCTGCGAAATGTATACGTGTCATATTCACGGTGATCATACTTTATCGTGGGTACGCGCCGATAATGGACTCTATTCCCGTCACTGAACTGTACAAATTCGAGATAAGAAAGTCCGTTGCTTTTTCTGCAGAGAAATTGAAATGTATCACTGAAGAAAATAAGAACTTATATATACAGGGTCTCTAGGTATAAGTACGGACATACGCAGGGTGTCAATTCTACAACAAATTTCCAACAAAAAATTACTCTTAGATATTTTCTTTGTGTCGCCTTATTCTCGTGAATTTTCACTTTTAATATTTTTTCTGCGTTTCCGACTTGACGCTCTTTAAACGGCCATAACTCCAACAAATTACAGTGGAAACTTAAAACTAAGTATAGCATTCGAAAGAGCGTTAAATTTCCCATATCTCTGATGTCAAAGCAAAATTTATTACGAAGATTTAACAAGTGAAAAATTAGGTCAAACTTAGAAAAAATATTAAAAGTGAAAATATACGAGAATAAGGCGACACAAAGAAAATATCTGAGAGTAATTTTTTGTTGGAAATTTGTTGTAGAATTGACACCCTGCGTATGTCCGGACTTATACGTAGACACCCTGTATACGAGGAAAATGTCAGATTCTCGAAGTGCATCGAAAGTTGTATTGTGGGATAAAATGATAAGACGTGTGATTTAAAGGTGCTCGATCACTAATCATTTTAATCTCATAGAAGGTAGCTAGAACAAAATTTTATTTAGTTATTATTATTGTTTGAGTTAAGTTTTATTCTTATTTAGAGGATACGAGAAGTCGATGAAACAATATTTAATGAATTCGTATCTTAAACTAGATATCTATTTAGAATGTCGTATGATACGAATAAATATTTTACGACTGTTTGGTTTTTATTCGAATATATTGAATATTCAAGGTTCGGTTACCAAGAGCGTACAGCTGTACCTCGCCTTTGTACTAAACGTACGTCTATTCTTACTTGTACTAATAAAGTAACTCTAAACAAACTCTATAATAATTGCGTTATAAAGGAACAATTTTGAAGTTCATTCAGTCGGCCATTTTATAGCATTTTCTCTCTAATTGTGATTAGGACACATGGTCCATTGTGAAGAGAACTAACCAAACGAAAATTTATGCAATGATTAAAATAACTAAAAAATTTGTCATATAATCTTGTCCCACGGTAGAACAAACTGTATATAGAAAGATTGAAAATCTGATTTCTAGATTAAGTTTAACATATAATAATTGTTAACGACAGTGAAAGATATACTTTGTTCCCTTTATTAACTTCGTTAATATTCCCTGTAAACGTAAAAGCAGAGAGGGGAAAAATTTTATCCAAATAATGAATGGCAAATAAAAATAAAATTAGACGAAGCGTCGTATAGTAACGAACCAAAACCTGTTAATGGAAATTTTTATCCGGACAAGAAACGTCACGATCACTGCTCGCAGGTGTGAAAGTAAGTTGGAGAGTTTATCGTAGTGAATATTTTATGTACATGTCTGTATGTGGGAAATATAGGGATGTGTGTATACGTCAAACGACAATGGAGACCTGTCGATCTTGTTGGAAGCCATAGTTACATCATTGCCATAATAATGTAGAGAAACCCTATACGACTCGTCCGAAGCAAGAAATTAAATACCGAGAATGTGATATTATTTATTGTGTAATAGTTAGAATTGTATAATATCCCGTGTAATTAATTCGAAAGTAGTTATCCGCTTAGGCTCATTCTCCAACCCTCGTTTGTGTTGTTTGTAAGTGCATATAATTTCAGTAATAATATTTTTGATAATCATAGACGAAATTCGTAACTTATTCGTCGTCATTATGTTGCTTTAATTACACATAATCTGAAACGATGCAACGAGCAGAAAAGTTTATCGTCCCTTCGCAATCGTATGCTTTGTTTCGAAAAAGACGAGAGATTATAATTTGAATCTGAACTACAAACGAAAAAGCATGTCTCGATACGTAAATTTTAAATAAAAATAATCAGGAACATTGTTACTTGATTTCTTTTAATCCAAGCTTTTTGCAGCACATATTCAAGAGTTATCATAAAAATGTTTGGATTATACTTATAAGTCCATTATTAGACGTAATAAATTAAATTATTCGAATTTATTCTTAATTTCTAGGAAAGATATTGGTGGTAACCATCAGGGCCTGTAGCGTGCGAATATGCAGCTACAGTACGGGCTTAGCAACCCCAAGGTACCCTAGCTAGATGGGGGCCAGTGGGCCTTAACAGACGTGTACAAAAAACAAGACCAACGTAAATGTAATATACAGAGTTGCGATGACGCGAATTAAGCCAAAATTAAGGAGTTATGTAAGGCAAAGCAATCTCACGCAGAATAGAAAAAATTATAATATGAAAAAATTATGTTACGATGTATGGATGCAGTACAATTCAGTGGAATACCTGAAAGATATTGATGGGAAATTGTAAAGAAAGACAGTGTAGAATCGGAGTTCATCCTTTGCACTTTAAATAAACATATGAAAACGAAAAATGTTGGTGGCGCCATCCGTGGCAAAACGCCCAAGTTTGTCGTCAGACTAGTTTCTAGTATCGGCAAAGAGATGGCGCCACCGTCACAAATATTTCGAAAAATGAATAAATTCGTATAATAACCTTTCATACATCTAAAAATGAACTTGCATTTACTCTATGATTATTTTAATGATAAACTTC